CCTTTCCAAAAAACATCATTACATAAATTTTATTTTCTCTCCATGCTCCTGTTGGTGATTCTGTGTTAATCTTTAGCCTTGTTGAAACCATTAGTTTCAAGTTATAAATAATGTGTTTATTAAGGACGTAAAGTAATGAGGATATATAGATGTTCTGAGCCAAACCTTTCACTGCTCTGAATTGTCACAGCCATAATGACATAACTTCCTGACTTCGAAGTAGCCACGACAGTTCTTATTCGGAATCTGCCTCATGTTTTCAATTAACTAATCCATTCTGGGACATACAAATTATTAAAAAAAAAAAAAAATATTCTAAGAGTTTAAGACGGATGGACAAAAAATACCAGAGTTAGAAGAAACTGTGACAGCAGTATAAACCATAGCACTGACAGTGTATTGATAAAAAAAATTACAGCTATCTGTATGGACTCTACTGAAGTTATAAAAGTGCATAAATACAAATCCAAAATGTAAATATTTTGAGCACTGGATGCTACAATATAACATAATCTGTAATCAGATGAACTTTTTCTTAGCAAATAATACTGAGTTAGATAAATAAGACATCTTAAAAATGCTTCATATGCATAAATTCTCAATTTACTTCCAGGAAAATTCTTGCCAAGTCTTAAATGGAGAACATCTGAGCATTGAATATTAAATACAAAAGTCACATACAAACTGTAACACTAGGAATAACTCCAGACTATCAAAACGTGAGTTAGTTCGTGTCAGTTGTTTACCCTAGATATCATTTGGATTGATAGCAGAACAAAATAAAACAATATAAACAGAAAATGGTGCATTCAAGTAAGTGCTAGCAGTTTTACAGCCCTTAGCTCTGTGGCAAAGCTGTAATAGAAAATTGGTGACCTCACATTGTTCATGGCAACAGACAGCTATATTAACAAACACACAATTACAAGTCTACTCCGAAAATAGAATTTGGGTTGGGAGGGAGAAAAACTCGTCTTCAAGCATAAGGATTTCAAATAATTACAATGGGGATGTGGAAAATGACAGGATGGGTGACTGGCTTATTGTGTAAATGTTCCATAATATTTTTTTTTTTTTTTATACTGGCACTGCAAAGGTTTCAAATGAGTGTTCAAAAAAGAAGGGAAGAGCCCTTCTGGAAAAAAAAAAAAAAAGAAAGAAAAAAAAAAGGATTGCTGTTTGGGATTCAAACCAGTGAAAGCAAGGAAGTGGCTTCATTCTCTATTTATCACTTTTTTCACATACCTGCTAATTTCACCAAGTTCTTAAAATGTACATATACTCAGATAATCATGCACATTTAATTCATCAGCTCTGCTGCTACAGGGTCCTGACATATATAGGAGACATTTATATTTCAGAGGCATAGTTCTGATGCAAAGTGATTAATCTATTGCCACATTCAATACACTATTTCATTTTTCAAAGTAAATTATCTTTCTTATTGAATGCAGTATGTCTTCCTGAGCACAACACAATAAGCAAAGATATTAAACCCGAATCTGCTTAACCATGTTGACCTTGCATTTAG